CTTCCTTTCTTTGGAAGATTCTCTCATCCATTTTTTTGTATCAGATGGAGTAGTAGAAAGCCAAAAACTTTCTTTCCCAAAAAATTAATCACTCCTAAAAATATAACCCTTTCAAATCACATTTTTATTTCTTTTTCCATTTGTGATTAGTTTACGGTTCTTGCGCAAACGCAAATGGTGCCGACCGGCACTTTCCTTAGAAGTATTTCAACTAGACCATTTCTTTCAAGGAAATAATTTAATTTTTCAAACCAACAAATAATAAAAATATTGAAATGAAATTATCCATAGTATTGAAGTTATTTCCAAAATTAGTTAAATGTATTGATATGTATTGTTGAAGTGAAAATAAATATTCAGCTGATTCATTTATATATTAGTGTCAAAACAGCACCCCATAATGCTAAACTGAATTGGAAAGTTTTCATTCAACAGACGTACTTTTGATATGATAAAATTATATTGTTTGACTCAACCGAATTATTTTGAGAACTCAATAAATGTTATTCTTGAACTAATCCACTATTCATTTGTCTAAATAAATACCTCTCGAATTGAAATATTAGAGAAATTAAAATGAGAATTTCATTTTGTCTCCGCAAAATTATCATCTAATCGATACAATACACACGTGGTTTGGAATGAATGATATTTAATCACAATGATGAAATAAATTAGACTAAATAAATTTCTTTGAAGTAACAAATCTTTTTTTTCCGTGTGTATACATCATAAACTTGACAGTAAATCATTGAAAATTCAAATTCTTTTTCAACCAACATATAATCATATTTATCACATTTGATAAAACTAACTGTTTCACATATTTTTTCGTGGAGAAGGATCAATATTCCTCCACGCACCGAGTTAGTTCTACAGTATTTTGAAACTATAAAGTAATTTGATATATACAGAGGCTCATCCTCCTCTAGCCAATGTTCAGTCAACATACAGAATACATATACAATACAGAATAAAATGATTGTTTTGATTATTGGAGTTCTTGTTGGAATGATGTCCTCCTTCCTCTCGAATCTCAAGATCATGCCGCTTCGCCTCACTAAGGCACACATTTTTGCCGATCAACTGCAGAAGGCATTTGATCGATGCGCCTGCTTGAGGAACATGATTCTCGGATCCAGGGATCACTTACCTCTCGGTGTAGGGAGTGGTCAATGGTTGATAATGTTGGCGCATCCTTCTGAATGGAGCTTCGGGTCTGACCAGCACAACCTTTGGAAATAATGATAATAATACACAGGGCACCGTTGTTCAATCGGAAGAACGTAACGTCGACCTTACAGTTAAAAGATTCAACGATGGGAAGACAGGAAGGAGTCTACGATTGAGTCGGCGAGACAGTATTTGTCTTGTATCTAATGTGAGAATGACTATAGGGCGGCCAACAAGCCTTTCACAAGCCGTGATGCGAACAGCCGCCAACTCGACGTGTTCATAACATTTGGAGTCAATACGTGCTGCTGACCACCAGGTAGCACTTTCTTGATAGTATACGGATGCTAGTGCCTTCTAAGAAGTTATTAGTAAGGCAAGCGAGAAGTTTCGCGGTAAACCTCAAGTTCCGCGAGAAACCTTGCTTATTCTTAGACACCCTACGCGTGTTGTGGATAATCAACCGACCGCTGATCGGGTGGAATCCTTCTGGAGGGACAGTCATAATCAGCCGCAGATACTCCAGTCCTATGGCAGTTCCAAAACTTTCTGTAGAGAGCTTCGATTGACTAACACGAAGATCTGTGCCATCCGATAACCTCGAATAAGATGTTCAAAGAGCCCTGGTGGTTAATAACCAAGTACCCCAAATTTGACCGTGTATTCGAACAGATATATGAGTAGAAAGGGTCAAAGAGAGGAGTCGCTGTCTAGGAGGAGAACCTGTTCATCGATAGATGTGGAACGCAGAACTCTGCATTCGCTTCAACTCAACATCTGGTCAGGATAAATTCCAAACAACAGGTAGAAAGGGTGTATTCCAGGGTGATTCCCCCAACTAACATGTTTTCTGTATGTCACTATTGTCGTCGTCCGTTGCAGTCAGAAAAACTCAAGGGTACCTACCCCTGTAAACCGAAAACCATAAACTTCATGCATCTGTAGAAAAGGATGTTAATCGGAAGTGGAAGAGTACACTTATGCTATGGTATTGGAATTAGGAAAAGACCAATGTGAAACTGTCCATCTTAAAAAAGGACGATGCGAGGATTGCGTAAAGGATATGTAGCTCGTAGATTGAATTATGCTGAACAATGTGGATGCCTAAGAGACGTATATTTACTCAGTGAACTGGCGAGGCGAGTATCAGCACACACTGTGACAAATCTGGTCATCGGAACTCTCGGGGAAGAGCAAAGTTGATACTACTAATATGTTTGCCAGTCCGATCATACTATTTTTTTGGAGCAGTAAAGTGGATTCTGGATGAGCTGAATCACCTCTCTGTGAAGATTCGAAAGATTATGAATCTCTATAGGAGTTTGATATAAGGAGGAATAATAAAAATGACTTGTTTGCTATAAAAGCAGTTAACGATATTTCTGAATATTTAAGTAATACGTTTTCAAAGTCTTTTTGAATTGATATGGAAAGCAATGTATATAGTATAGTACGTAATTCAGGAAGTTAGGTGCGAAGTAAGAGTAAGAAAAGGATTTTTGGACTAACTGGAATAAAATAGGTACAATTTTATTTTTATAACTTTTTTTAAATGTATACAGGCCATAAGTATCATTACTTTCTAAATAAAGAACGCCCTGTGTAAGTTAAATTAGCAAATATAAACATAATGTTATCTGAAAGTGCACGCTCCGATAGTGTAGAAAAGGGCCTCGGTACAATTACTCGTCATTGTTTCATAGATCTTCATTCAATGTCGTCTGTGTGGAAGTGTGTGAATTCATCTGACAGTTTCTGTTATATTTGTGGTTAATAATGGTATTGAAACAATAACATAATATTACGGACTCGGTAAAAAAGTATACTTCGCGTATATTGGCTTAAAATTTGGAAGGTCAGGATAAAGTTTGGGCACCTCATAAAGTCTGCAAACGATGTGTTGAAGACCTTCGCAATTGGTTCAAGGGCAAGAAAAAAGTTTTCCAATATGCGATTCCTATGGTTATGGCATGATCAAAAGAACCATATTGATGATTGTTAATTTTGTTCGTGTAATGTGAAAGGGTATACTTCAAAACGAAAGCAGTCAATTTCATACCCTGCTACCTTGTTCCTTAGAAGAGATTCCAAGTTCTGACGAAGATAGTGCTGTACCTGAACCTGATGACAAATCAAGTTTTGAATTTGAAGATGACAACAATTCTAAATTATATTTCTAGGGTGAGCTGAATGATTGGAAGAGACTTGAATTGTCCCAAAAATGCTGTCAAGTTGCTTGGAGATCAAGGCTCAAAAGCAAGAACTTACTTTTGCCGAGAGTGTGTCCTCCTGTTTAGATATCGTTAGAAGCAGTTCACTTCCTACTTTGCCCAAGATGACAAATTGGTTTATTGTACCAATATTGAAAGTTTGGTAGATACATTTGATATCTCATATAACCCAGCACAGTGGCGTATATTCAAAGATGCTTCAAGAAGAAGCCTTAAAGCAGTTCTGCTTCATAATGGCGGTTTCTATGCCACCTTTCCTATCGGTCATTCCGTACACCTCAAGGAAACCTACAAGAATTTGGAAATTCGGGTATACGGTTGGTTACCTCGTTCATAAGCAGATGGGGCGATAACAAACATGTTGTTTGTCGTTCGCTTAAGCTTTTTTTCAAAGAATGATACTCTGAAAGGAATTCGATTTTCACTTATAGGAAAACATCGACTTCATGTTAATAATACATACTACCTTGCACTGACGAGTGGCTTAACAGCCCGAAACCAGTCTGCGAGTTTGGCCCAATATTTGAAAATCGATTGCGACAGTTGAATCGCCAACAGCATTCGCAGGAATAACTTCAGTGAAAAATCCTGCACTGACACATGTCGGATATAATCCAACGCCCTTCGTGGTATTAGCCAGGGGAGTTGTTATTTTCGGATAGGTGTCAATCCATTAACGTACAATATAGGTGAGTTGATACTGGTCTGGACAGTTGTTCTTTTAGATAAAGTGTGAGGTGATTCAAAAATCTTGGGATCTGGGTTTACCAAATTCCTTTGCTTTTTTGTGTCTGTAGGATAGTATAGTCCGAGCAAATCACTGGACCAAAAAGTGTTGGCTTCCTAGGGAGCCTAACGTTGGCGTGAAGAACGCCCTGCATGAAACTTTGGTGCCTCCTCATAAAGTTCTTCTAGCACCGCTTCATATAAAACTGGGCTTGATGAACAATTCGTATAGTCACTTCTAAAAGATGGAAATTGCTGCAAATACTCAACATCAAAGTTTCCAGGCATGTCAGAGGCAAAGTTGAAGGAAGATGTTTTGGTGGACCATATATTGACGGATCCTCGAAAGAGATGCGTGAATTGCCTTCAAAAAGGACAGGAAAATTTTTAGGCAATAAAAATGACCTTAACACCAAGATATTAAGGAGATGGAAAAAATATACTAGGGAATATGGGGCGTCTCAATGATGGCAGACTACTGTTGAACGCTTCAGAGAGACCTTCCAAATGCTTCCTACAAACGAAAATGTACCAAAAGGAGTCTCACTGGGTTGAAGAAATGTGTTTAGAGCTTACTACTGAATGTATTTTGCATAATAAAAAGTTTTGTTACGCAATTATAAAAATAATTGCTCTCAATACTTTTTTTGCAGATTTGTCATAATTTGATGGAACCACATTAGAAGGAAATATACTGTTATTCAACGTTTGTCCTACGAACGGCAACCCTCAATCGTTGAGGTTGATTCGTGGGAGTTAAGGGTTAATGAAATCCTATATTTTAACATGCGAATTCTAGCATTGCTATGCTTTCACATTATATTAATTTTTATGAAAAAATATATATATATATATATTTTCTTGTTTCAGTACTACGAAATGTCATATGGACTTAATGTGGAGATGCACAAACAGGTGAGTTTTTCGTACATGTCAGTCCTCTTTCTATTATACCGGTGTGAAGTTGCCAGCCACTTTTCAGCAGCCAAATTAACAATAGCCTCAATGAAAAAAACAATATTTTTAGCATAACTATCTCTTATACTGAACATTTGAAATTTATATGGTACTTCAGAAAACACCCTTTGAAAACTCCTTATCAATTTCAAAGACTTACAAAAATGAGAGCGTGTAATCTACCCTCGAATAATAAAAATTGCAATACCCTTCAAGAAAATTACTACTTGAACTTCAACAAAAGTTTCACAGGATGTATCGAAATATTTGTTTCAAACATATCTTAAGTAGTTCATCCATTTGTAAAGGGGATGTGGGATGTATTATCCACCCCCGAATGAAAAAAGATAGATATAAGTTAGTTCAGAAAATGACTGCCAGCTCGCAGTTCACAGGGTTTGTTGACAGATGTCTCACAAACATTTTCTAAAAGTTTCATCTATTTACGAAGGAGTTGAAGCGGTGTAATCCACCTCCAAAATAATAAAAGTCCCTTCATGAAAATACCGCAAGCTTGAAATCTACAGGGTGTGTAGGAAGACATCTTACGAATATTTCGTAACAGTTTCATCTATGTGCAAAGAGGATTAGGGGTGTAATTCGCCCCCAAGGAAATGAAAGTCTCTTCTTCAAAATAACTGTCAGCTTCAAATTTACAGGTTGTGTTGGGAAACATCTTACAAACATTTCATATTAAGTTCACCCATTTGTAAATCAGATGACGAGGTACATCATAGGGGTGGATCACAATACTCCCTTAATAAAATCGAAACAAATGTCTATTTATGAAAATACTGCTAGCTTGAAATTCACAGGGTTTGTTGAAAAACATCTAACAAACATTCACAAAACTCTACATATGTCCTTTACAAAAAATACTGTGGGTTTGAAATTTACACTATGAAGCTAACAGTATTTTTTTAAATGTTTATCTCTTTTTAATCATTTGAGGGTTGATTACATTCTATTATCCCCTTTGCAAATGAATGATATTTAAATGAAATGTCCATACGATGTCTCCCAATATACCTTGTAAATTCCAAGCTGGCAATATTTTTCCGTTCGTTTTTTATTATTTGAGGATAGATCTCATCCTCACTTTCACGTTGGTATTGAAATAGTGTTTCCTGACGTACCACATAAGTTTCAAATATTTCTTAAAAACAAGGTTGGGAATTTTTTTCACCGAAGCCACTAGTAATATAGCTGCTGGAATCGAAGTGGTTTCTGAAAGGTGGTTGCCAACTTCACACCAGTATCTATTATCCAACGTTATACAATTTCATATCATCAGACGTTGTCATTGGCAAAATAAAATTCGAGATGTTGATGGGTGTGGAATTTTCCGCGACAAAATTGAGGACTATATAAAAGTTATAAAACATGTCGAATACTATGCAAGAATATCTCTGGTTATATTTTTATTCGTAATTGTTCAAATTGAATTCAGATCTATTTGTAGGTATTAAAAATGTATAAAGGAAATAAGGTAGGTGCATCAATATCTATTATTTTATTCAGAGGTATTCAAAACTTCCTTATATTAAAAAAATTTATTCTGTTCGAAAGATAAAATTAATATTCAGGGTAGAAAGTTAATGGGAATCCAAAAAAATCAATTATTTAATCAAATATAGACCAGTGAAAGGCAAGAAAAAAAAATAGATGACTTCAACACAGATTATATAAAAAGGGTGTTTACACATCTCAAGGACTTTCTGACCTAGAACGAATAATTGATTCCTGCAAACAGAATTGAAAAAGATTAAATCACTTCTTCAGGTATTTTTATCGACCTTTTTAGATATATCAACCTTCCACAATATTCTTCAATAAATGTTAAATCATGCCAAAAAAAACCTATTTTTGAATTGTCTTGTGATCCAAGTGGCTTATATTTAAAAAGCTTGATTGGGTAACAGGATCAAATTATCTCAGAAATACAATTTGTTTCTTACCGACGTTTCGAATTCAATTAAATTCTTCTTCAGGGCCCGAAAAGAAGTTTTTTATGTTAAAACTATGACTAAATTTAAAAAGCATCAGAAGTGTTAGTTACATACGAGATATAAAAAACACTGTAGCTGGTGTGAAGTTATTCACACCAGCTACAGTGAGAAAAAAATATTGAACTATTATTTTTTTCATTTAACGATTTTGTACACATATCATTTTTCATAATGATACGCTCGTTGACTGACTAAGTGAAAACAAAGAACCGTCCTAGCGTTTAGGCCGTCTGAAGGGGTGGAAATGGGTTGGAAATATTTATAAAATTCGTAACATGAAAAATCGACTTTGTTAACCTATCAAACTGAGATATGTTATGCCTGATCACCGAATCGACGACAAAAACATCACGCCATAGTTTTACAGGTTGTCCGAGGGGGTGGAACCTTAAAAAAATCGTATCTATGAAATAGAATTTATACACATAAAAGGTTGGGATGTCTGAGAGGGTGAACGTGGGCTGGAAGTATTTATTAAATTCGTAACATGAAAAGTCGACTTTGTACACCTATCAAACTGAGATATGTTATTACTGGTGACCAAATCGACAAGACAAACATCACGACATATTTCTACATGCTGTGTAACGGGGTCGAAATGGGGTGGAAACTTCAAAAAATCGTATCATCGAAAATTGAATTTGTATCTGTTCAAAATCTGTTTTTCCGTTAACCAGCTGTCGCACCCCTATGAATGACAACCCTCAGAAGTCGAATCTTGTGCGAACTAAGGATTAATGAGGTCTTATCTTTTAACGTGTGATTCCTAACACCTACTTACATATCTCAATCTTGTATACCTACAAGATTGAGATATGTTATTCCTGATGACCGAATTGACAAGAAAAACACCACGCAATAGTATTTTAGGCCGTTTGAGGGGGTGGAAATGGGGTGGAAACTAAATCGTATCATCGAAAATTGAATTTGCACACCTACAAAATTGAAATATGTTAATACCCTTAACCGATTCGACGACACCTACAAAATTGAGATATGTGATTCATGATGACGGAATCGACGAGAAAAAGATCACGCCATAGTTTTACAGCCAGTGTGAAGGGATGAAAATGAGATGGAAAATTTTAAAAATCATACATCATCGAAAATTCAAAGTACACATCTGAAATGTTCAGATGCTCCTGATGGCGGATTTAACAAAATAATACCATGTCAAAGTTTTTGACATGTAAGGAGGTGGAAAAGAAGTGGAAACTTTTATATCATAATAATTGTATAATGTAATGGATTAACGGATTTCATTCGAAAGAAACAAACAATTTTATAAATCGAAAGATCACTTCACGGAGTTGTAGTATTTTCTTTTCATTTTCGTTCTGAATATAGCCTGACAGAATTTCATATATGTTCAATTTGAAAGGGGTTTATTTTAAAAAGAGATTATTTTTCGAAAAAGAAAGGTTTTGGCTTTGGAAGATTTTTACATTTTTTGTATAGAGATGGAGCCAAAATCTTTCTTTTAAATAAACGTTTCAGAAAATGTATTAACGAGAAACGTAAATTATTCAAATAATAAAAAATCAACTCATTGTCACATTATTTACTGAAACTAAAAATGAAACAAAATGACATGAAATATGTTTTCAAAAATAACTTAACACATATAACTTTTTAATAAAGGAACTATTTTGGAATAACTATAATTCTTCAGACTACATTAAAAAATTATAAAATGTCAATCAAAGGGTTGACAAAATAAAAAATAAATATCATTCTAGATAAAAGTAATAATAAAATATCACAATTTCCATCTCTAAACAAGAAACGTCTACCATGAAACTTTCTTTTACATACTGAACATATTTTCATTTCTTTAATAACGAAACCACTACAAACCATACATAAACATCCTGTGAATCAAGAGTTCCATTATATTTTTTTCTGGATAGGGTAACTATCTATTGGGGTTGCAAATGATGCTTTCAAGGCATATTGCTGGCAGAGAAAATTATAAATACTCCAAAGTTGAAAGTGTCTGTTTGTTTAATATGTCTTGGAGATTGAAGTTCCCAAAACATATTGAATGAATTTGTACATTTATATTCATCATATTTTTCCAGAAACTCTCTGAATATTTCTGTTTCAAAGGTTCTTATTGAATTTTTCAGAGGTTTTTATTAAACACCAATGATTTCTATTAACATATAGAGGAAATATGATACTATCTTTTTCTGAAAAATTAAATGGACCATCGAAAAAATATTTATCGAATTGGTTTGTCACATTAAAGATTGCATATGAGTTTCCTACTGGAATAAATGTAACATTCACGTCACGATGTCATTTGATGATCATATATGAAAAATAAATTATGATGGAATCTGTTAACCACGTTGTTCCATTTCAGTCCAGTACACAATAAACAATAAATTTTTGTGTGTAATTGCCCAACACGGAACTGGGTCTATAGTAGTTAATGTCTGCAACTAATCCATTAGGAAGAAACTAGTCTCACAGATGAAATTTCCGTTTTGTTGGATAAATCTGTTACGTAATGTTTTTTGGGATGCTGGTTGCTTTCAATTCCATCTTTCGACCACTCCTGTCTTCTGATTTCAACTGGGTAGGCAGAATCTATAGTTTCAGGTAACAGAAAGTTCCAAAAAAAGTCCTGTAATTTTGGGAACATGTTTTCCAGCATTTTTTACTGAATCCAATTATTTGTATGAATATTGCATTTTGACTGAAAGAAACAAGATCGCACCATTTTCTTTCATTAACAGCCAAATCGCCCTGAATTTGGAAATAGTAGTGATGATTACTTTCCTTTGAAAATGCATTTTTATTGAAATATTCCAATTTTTCTTTGAGAATGTGTGGGTTTTTTGAAGTTCCCACCACCTCAGACGGCCTGTGAAACTATGGCGTAATGTTTTTCTTGTCGATCCGGTCATCAGGAATACCATATCTCAGTTTGATAGGTTAAAA